CTCCCGCCTGGCTCCTCTTTTTCCACCCCCAGCCAGCATGGCCCTCCCTCTGCCACAGCCACCACACAGTCCAGGCCCAGAGCTGGCAGCGACAGAGGGGCTGAGACAACCCTGGGTGAAAGCAGGAGCTCTTTCGGGGTGGGATGGAAAGCCTCATCTCCCACCTGCCCTCGCAGGCAGGCAGAGGAGTCAGGACACCAGGGAGATCACTTGCACCTCACCATCACTGCATGATGAAAGCTCTGCTGCTGCATTGCTCCATGGCTGCAGGTGCTTGGCCTAGAGCAGAGGGGAGAGAACTGGACCAGATGGTTCAAGATGAGCTGACCCAGTATTTCAGAGGAAGAGGATTGCATACATCTGACTAGATGGGTGTCACAGCACTGGCATCACTTTCAAGGTCCCATGGAGTCACTGAAGAGCCAAACAACGAGGAGGCAATTCAGTCTGTGCAGACACAGCATCAGGTGACCTGAATGGCCAAGCCACTACCTGTGCTGTAAAAGGAGCCCGGAGTTCAGATGTAGACAAGGCTGGGCACCGGGGGTACCGTGCCAAATGCTGGCACGGGGAACAGAGCACTTCCCATAAAGCATCTGCACAAGCAGACCATGCTCTGCAGTGGCTCTGACACAGCAACAGACATGTGGGACCCAGGAGAACAAGCCCAGCAGCACACAAGCAGAGCCCACCAAGCTCCAAGGCCACCACACTGTCACTGTCACCAGCAAAGGCATCTTGGACACATGTTCACATCCTGCACCACCTCCTACCTCGTGATGCTCCTTTCCTGTGAGGACCCAAATGGTCACACTACAGCCCGGATTGGGGTAAAACTAGGTTAAAACCAACCTAGTGAAAACAAACAAGAATGTTAGCTTTAATGCAGATTCTTCCATCTGGCTAAGTGCCTGGCCGTGCCAGCACCAGTGACTACCCAGATGTAGACGCCTCCAGTTACTCCGGCAACTCCAACACCCCTGGCGAGGCAAGAACGTCAGGCAGAGCAAGAAGAGGCAGTGTCTAGCATGCAGGAGACCTCACAAGCAGGGAATCCTGGGCAAGTAGGGTGCCTCCCTCCATCCCCCTTCCAGAGAAGGAAAGGTACCCAACACTTGGGAGGTGCTCAACTTGTGCTTCAGCAGCAACACCCCAGTCTGTTGGGGATTTCTCCTCTGGCCAACAGACCAAGTCACCGCACTTCCAGCAAACATCCCGGCCTCAGTGCCACGGACCATGTCAAAACCTGAGGCATTAACAGGACAGTGGCAAAATTCCTGTCCCATGGCAGCAGTGCCAGCGCATCCCCTCACTGTCTGGGTATGTGGCAGGGCAGCTCTGCAGCAGCTGATCCCATGTATTGTCTTAAAATCCAACATTGCCTGTTGAGCCTAATGTGTTATGCCAGACAGCTGAGTGATAGCTTTCGCACTCCCCATCCGGCTCCCTCTGCCCGGCTGCTCAGAGGGATGCTCTCCTCCAACTGACACGTTGATCCCAGCTGCATCGCCGCTGCAAGAACAGCTCACCTCCCCCAGGCAGCTGATCAGAGTCATCCAAAATCAGGACATCCAGGTATCGAGTGATGCAGATAGGTCACACTCCCTCTTCTCGTGCCTGCACACGACCGCCTCATCAGGGATGTCACTGCTTCCTCTACTCTAGTGCCAAGGGCTTGTGCTGGCACAGAAAGAGACTTGTAGCATATGGTGAGCCCTAATGACATGTAAGAACAGGGCTTCTGCACACATTAGTTGGGTAAAAGCACTGCTGTAAGCAGCAAAGATTTACATTAGCTTCAGACAACTACCAGGCTTCCACCACCCCACTTCTGCACACTGGGGCTCCCTGCCGCAGGCCCAAGGCCGATGCTACAGGTTGGAGGTTGCACATAGCCTCCCACAATCTGGTTCAGGACCAGGGCTGACATGTCCGCAAAGCTCCTCCTGAGGGAAAAGGACTACAGGACCTGCAGCTGCCATCTGCTCTAGGGCTGGAGATGGTTAAGAGCCCTGAGAGTCCAAACTTCAATCCCAGCCCTATATTCCTGCCAATAGACACTGTTCCCACACAGGCAGGGCAGGGTGGATTACTTCTTACAGAAAGGACAGCCCCTGGAAGCACAGGGCATTTCACCAAGACAGAGAAGGCTCTTCCTGGGTGGTCTGGCCAAGCAGACACCTCCATCAGCCTCAGAAAGATGAAGCCACTTTCCAGGAAGGGGAGAGTCTCCTGAAGCTGCCTCCTTCCAAACACCAGGCAGGGAGCTCATCTTGCCTGGCTTCAGACATCTCAAGATGGTCTCCAGGCTCTCCTCACCCAACAGGGAGGCATGGGCACAAGCCACCTAACCAGCCTCAGCATCTACAGGAGACAGAGCAGTCCTGGCCCCTCCTGCTGTGGCATCTACACCTGGTCAGGCAGACCCAGTTCTAAGACCTTCAGTTTTAAGGTTTCTCCTAGCAAGAAAAACGCACATGATGAGTGGACCAGCTCTGGTATGGTGGGAGGCAACTGGATGAGAGACCTGAGCTCAGATCCCTGCTGTACCAGTGAAGCTGCCCAGCCTCCCCCCTCACTGTGGTTGGAGGGTGGTGCTCCTGGTGCTGCACATCGAGGGTTGCTCAGAGCCCGCAATGCCAGTGCCCCGGCAGGATGAGGTTGCTACCGAGCACAGATAAAAACAGCCCCGTGAAGTCTGGTTTTGGCATGCTGTGGCTGCCCATGGGACAACAGTAGGGCACTGTTCAAACAAAAGGGTTACACAACTCTAGAGTGGAATAACTCTACAGGGGGAATAATCCTTGCAGCAAGGACACCCACGCATCCAGCCCAAACATTCAGAAATCTGCCGACAGCAGCACAACACCAGCCAAGTGCACAAACACAGACCCGGTGTGAAGCACCAGCGTTTCTAGTGATCTGGCAACTTCAAGGGGCTCTGCTGGGCCCTGCCATGGTTGTAGCTTTGAAATCCAGAGCACTGGAAGAACATTTCTTCAAGGAGGAGACAGCTCCTCCATTCCTGCCCCAGGACATGCTGGTAGCTGATGGCTGAGGGACACAAGGGTAAGGCACCGACCACAAAGACAAGCCAGCAGCTTTTTTTTCCAAGCATCTTCCAGCAAGCCATCTCCTATGCTCCCAAAAGCTTTTTGGGGATCTGTTTGTCTCGCTGCATCAGACAACAGAGAGCCTGGCAGCTCATGGCCAGGGCTGGGCCACAGCAGCAAGCCAGCCCTGGAAGAAATCTTGCAGTGTCATCATCCAGGCTGCATCCTGCCCTAGGACTACACGCAACTTCAGGTCATGGCCACCCCTCCTCATGTGAGCACTTGCCTGGCTGCTCAGCCACCCCCTCCTGCCCAGCTCCGACCCATGAGCTGAGCATCATCATGCACAGGATGCCAGGACATCCCTGTGCCGTGGGACTGAGCATCACCCACACCCAAGTGACTCTTTCAGGCTCCTGTGGGAGGACTGTGGCCATAACCAGAATAAATCCTGTGATTCGTGGATGGGAACACAGCCACCAACCCACACCAGCCCCCAGAGCAGCTCCGCCTGTGACAGTAACCTCCTCCACTAAAGGGACAGGACACAGGGGAGGCACTGGCAGGGGAAGACAGTGGGAGGCTTGCTCCTCACGCCAGCACAGGCAGCCCAAGCCACGGGCAGGGGGCTGCTGCCTTCAGACCTTTTACCCTCTGTACCACAATTGCCCTCGGGACCCTTGATCCCAGGGCCACATGCTCATGCCAGAATCACCTCCCTGCTTCCAATAAGCCACAGGCAGGGACTCCAACAGCGATCAGACCCTCTCTCCTGCTGTCAGCCCCTGTAACACCCCCCAAAACACAACACGCAGATCAGGGCTTGAGACCAGGCCCCAGACAGCTGCTGCCTCTCCCCATGACCTGCTCCCCAAATACACACAACAGCAATTTTATCACAGCCAGTGATTCCCGACACAGCAAATGCAGCCACCAGCAGCCTGACAGAAATTACAGGGCCCTAAGTGGTTGAGCACTGGCAACCCAGCAAGTGCTGCGCAGTTGAATGGTTATGGAAAACAAGGTACTGTCATCGATGAGCCCTTATCAAAATTACATTTGCTTTGTAGCCCTTCATTCCTGGCTGCCTCGCCCTGCGCTGCTCACCACTGTGGCGTATGGCGGGTAAACACCCTTTGTCTCAAGGGCCGATGCTCCAGCCGAGCCCGGTGCCTCCCAGTCACCCAGCACCGGCCAGATGCTGGGATGCCAGCTGACATCCCGACAGCCGAGGGACCCCAGCAGGATGGGGAGCGCCTGCCCATCACCCCAAAGAGGGGGGGGCTCCGACCGGCCAGCTCCCACCGAGGGCTCCTGGTCCGCCGGGGGGGAAACCGGGGACACGCCCCATCCCGGGGATGGGTCCCCCCCACCCCGGGGAGGGTCACCACCCCCCCCCCGGGGGCTCCATCCCCCGCCACGAGGGTGTCTGCCTCCCCCCGGGGGTTAGCAGCGACCCCTGCCATCCACCCGGGGGGTGGCTCTACCCCACCGGGGAGTCTCCATCCGCCGCCCCCCCGCCTCCCGCGGCTCCGCCCGCCCCGCCGCGGGCAGCGCCGGGAGGGGCCGCGCTCCACTGCCGCCGCCCGCCGGGGCCTGTCTGGAACCTTCCGTCGCCCCGGCTCCGGCCCCGCCCCGGGCGGTACGCGGCGATGGGGGGACAGGGCGAGCAGCACCGGCGCCGCCGTGACCTTGAGCCCCGCCGGCCGCCCGGGGCCGCGGCAGCCGCACCCGCCTGGGGCCGGCGGCGGCGGGCGGGCCCCGAGGGCAGGGCCGGGGCGGGGCGGCGGGGCGGGGCGGGCGGCACCTGCCGCGCCTGACCCACATAACGGGCGGCTCGGCCCCGCCGGTCCCCGTTCCTCCCGGCGGCGGGGGCGCACCCCGCCAGCTCCCGTCGCGAGTGATGGCGGGGAGGGGGCTCGCCCCGGCCCCGGCCCCGCCACTCACCGTCGCGGGAGAGGTTTCCTCGGGCGGCGCCGAAGCAGGCGAAGAGCAGCAGCAGGAGGCCGAGGGGCGGCATGGTGGCGGGGGCCCGGGGCGAGCCGAGCCGCAGCGCAGAGGCGGCAGCACCGGGCGCGCTCGCTGCTCTCCGGGCTAGAGCCACCGGTGCGGCAGCGGCGGGGATTAAATAGAGCGCGAGGAAGAGACCATTCGTAGCACGGCGGCGGGGGGGGGGCGGGGGGGACGCGCCGTTGCCGCCCCTCTCGGCCCCAGTGTAAACATGCCCGCTCCGGCCGCCGGCCCTCCCCGCACCCCGAGGCGCAGTGGTGTGCTCCACATGCGCGACTCCCCGCGGGAGGCAGGTGGGCGCGGGCAGGCGGCGGCGGGGGGCGGGCACGCGCGCGCTCGGGGGTCCTCGCGGTCCCCGTCCCGCCCCCGCGCTGAGAGGGCCCGGTCGCAGCTCGGTCGCGATTTGTCGGGTGGTCCCGATGACCCCGATCCCGGGCTGAGGGGGTGCCAGTCTGGCGGATGACCTGCTCCCGGTCCCAGCGGAGCGCCTCGCAGCCCCGCGCCTCGCAGCTTCGCCCGGTCCCGAGGGGGACCCTCCCGGAGCGTCGGCCCCGGGTCTTCGCGGGCCCGGGCACTCCCTCTGGACCCTGTCCCCGTCAGAGCCCACCGCGTCCCGCCCGCCTCTGGCCGCGGACAGGCGCTGTGCCGCCGTGGGTCTGCTCCACTCGTGGGGAGCGCAGCGACGCAGACGGTGTCCCCGGGGCCGGCCAGGGCGCCGGCCAGGCCGGGCTCCCCCTCCGCGGTGACTCTCCGGGTGGCTCTGGGATCTGTGGCTTGGGAAGCGCGTGGCAGAGCAGCGGGTTGAGCGATGGGTGGCTGGCGGCGGCCACGGGAGGTGGGTTGCCCACTGTCGTCTTCTGCTGCTCTCGAGGGTCCTTGGCCCCGCTGGCTCTGGGATCGCTCCCTTCTATACCACGTACCCGGCATAGGTCGGTTTGCAAACCAGCCTCCATGGCTCCTGCAGCCGAAGGCCCAGCTTTGGCTTTCCTCTGGTTCCTGCAGCCAGCCTGCTGAGCGCAGATGAGCGGACCACGTGCACCTTGTTTGATGCAGGACAGTCCTCTCAGTGCTCCGGGGGGTCAGAAGGACTGCAGCGGGAACGCTGGGGTGTGACTCACCAGGGTTGCTCAGCCTGTCTCTGCTCCTCAGGGTTGAGGACTGCCTTTCTGTCTCTGCAGCAGCCCATGTACCACCCGGTCTCATGACTGGTCCTTGCTCAGACTTGCAGCCAAATCACATTTGGGGTGAAGTCTGCGTTTGTTCCAGTCCGTAGCTGCCAGTTCCTATAAAGTCAGTGTCCAGCCCTTGCTATCCCATGGCATCTCGCAGGCAACTCTTTCATCCACTGTTATCATCCATTAGATGGTAACATCCAAGTGCTAGTTCATGCTAGCCCAAATGTTTTTAGCCAACACTCCCTCCTGCAGCCCTAGAGGAGGAATTAACCCCTTTTGCTTTAGTAGGTCTGAAACAAATGCATACATTCATTTCACATGGCAGCGTAAACTCCTCCTCACGTGCTTTTATGCCAAGCTCTTCCACACCCTGATGATCTCCTGCACAAACACTGTGCAAGAGCGATGTCTCTGTTAGTCATAATCTCTGTGGGAAGGGGCTGTGGGAAGAACAGCTTTCTGGTGGTCAGATCAGATTGCTGCTCTGCCTTGATTTTCATCCTGTGTCTGGATGTGGTCCTGAAGGTGATGCTGGGTGTATTAGGGCCTCATCCAGCTGACCTTAGAGGAGTTGCAGCTGGCCCCAGATGTGACTCCAGTGCTCAGGGTGCAGAGCCATGGTCTGTGGGGCAGATTTGGGGACAGTGTGGGCCAAGTGAGGCCACAGGAGGCTCTCCCCAGGTCTTCAGCTGGAGAAAGGGCTGCCTTTGACAAATGGCTCTGGCAACCCAGGGGATGTGAGGACAGCTCACACAAAGTCTTCCCCCAGGTGTGGAGTAAATACAAGCATGGCTCCTCTCAGAGGCATTAGTGTGGGTGAGGGAGGCTCTAGTGGGAGAGTGAGATGGGGCAGGGAAGCTGGAGAGGGTCTTGTGGGATGGCTCCTGGGAGGGTACCATGCTGGGTTGGGCTCTGGGAGGGTGTGGGTGGCTCCTGGCACTGCATGTGGCAGTCAGGGGAGCAGTTTCCTCCAGAGAGGAGGGTCTTGGGTGACACTGGGTCTCTTAGGGACTTTTGTGATCTCGCAGCCTCTCCTCAGATTGCTGGAGGAGGACATGCAGGAGTGTCGTGTCCCTTGGGGCTGTGCCGCAGTTCCCTTGACTGAGGAGGGAGGCTGGGGGGGCACGCTGCCTTCCTGTCGCCGCACTGGCTATGGCGTGGCAAGGCTTCCTCACAGGAGATAATCGCAGGGCAAGGAGCTCTTTGCCTCCTCCCTTCACCCCTGCCTCCCCAGTCGCCTCTCCCAGCCACAGGCTGGAGGCTTCGTAGCTCCAGGCGGTTCTTTAACCCTTTCTCTGTCTCCTGCAAGGCAGGTGTGTTGCAGAGAGTGTGGCTGCCAGCAGACAGATGGCTGTCTCCTGCCTCCGTGGGTGCAGCACCCACACTCTTTATCACATGGGTGGCTCTTGAGGAGTGGTGGCTGGTGAAGGGCAGGGTGGCCGGAGGCAGAGGAAGAGGAGGCATTCAGTGTGCAGCAGGTGCTGAGGGGACGCTCGCCACAACAAATCCCTGTGATTCAGCTCTAGAGCATCTGCCACCACTGGGGACCGAACATTAACAAACGGCAACAAACGGCCGAGGGGGCTGATGTCATGCAGCTGCCTTTGCCGAGGCATCCTGGAGCTCTCCTGCATGGTTTCACTCTGCCATACCCAGGAAGGATGGTGCTCCTCAACTCTGCTTTGCCTGAGAAACCCGCCAAAGTCCCTGCTGGCCTAAATCTCTCTGGTTCTTTCTTGCTGATGACAACGTGGGGCTGTGAAGGTGGGTGTTACATTCAGAGCAGTGTTGACTTCTGGGTCTCCTTGCTCTCTGTGAGTATGTGCCTCTCTTGAACTGGGCTGTTCAGGTCCTCCAGACCCTCCCATGTGTGCCAGCAGTGGTCTGACTTCAGCCAAGTGTAAAGGACTGCGCGAGGTACAGGCTGCAGGTGTAGGACAGTTTTTTTCACCTACGCCACTTAGGTATAGCACCCTTGGGTAGAAGCAACCAGATCTCACTCACCTCTCACTGACAGTTTAAGAGCTGCCAGCCCTGATCGCCTGTGGAAACCTTCCAGCCTCATGTCCTGGATGCAGCTAATATTAATGCTACAGAGGAAGAATAAACCACCCCAGTGTTAACATTCCACCCAGGACTAGCTGGAATATAGAGCTAAAACACTTTACAAAATACCTTAGCAAAGCTAGTTACAATTTCTTCCCCCTGCCCGCCCCAGATCTAAAAAATCTAGTCTGTTTGACCACTCTGTTATCACATCTCTAGAGAAGATTATACCCTCTGATTATCTGAATTTGTCCTTTTCTGGTGTCTTGCCACCTGTCTCCCAACTTTTAGGATCAGACTAGAAGCTCCTGCCTTGCCTTTCTAGTCCCTCCAATGGATACTGTCTCTGGAAGTGGGGTTGAAGGATGGAGTGAGAATGAAGCCTTCTAAATCATCAAATGGGCTCAGTAACATACTTCCTTTTAAACAATCATGTTTTCTAGCCCATGTTTGCTGTTGCCCTGGATAGTGTCTCCCTGGAGGCTCTGCAAAGGCATAGAAATCTCCAGGGAAGGTGTGGAAGATGGAAGGAGAAGAGCCATTTATCATTTCTGTGATATCCTCATCTACCGTAATTGCTTCCTTTAGCCTCTGACAGTCTAACAGCCCCATGTTTTCCTGATGGCTTTTTGACATGCTCAGCCCTGTTGTTTGTTTTTATACCTTTACTGATTTGCTCTTCAAAACCCCTCTAAGCTTTGCTTAATTAGCCTCACACTGAGTTTTAGGATTTGCTTCCATTTAGTGTCACTTGTTGCTGTTTGGTCTTGGCTTTCCTGTGCAACTCTGAATTGAACAGGACTGGGGCTGCTGTTACGCAGCATCTCAGCTACTATGAATTCGCTCCTGTGTGCCACTTAAAACTAAGTCAAGAAAGGTCTCCCCACTTCTTCCTGCTCCTCTCCTTGCTCCAAGTGAGCGATTGCACAGAGCAGCTGGTCAAACGTGGAGATACTGTCTCTGAACTGTGTCCCACTATGCCGTGTGTTTGTTTGTATGTGGGTGGTTCCAGTCCCTTACTATCATCTGCTGTTATTGCACCTTTGCTGGAGTCTCATGCCATTTTGATCTCTCTCATCAAAGTGCGCCTGCCACTTTTCCGCAGCTGTCTGGGCAGGGAGATGGAGTCTTGCAGGGATTTGGTTTCATCTGGGTGTTTGCAGCTTGCTCAAGCTGTCCTGCAGAACTTACAGCCAGATGTTTTGGTATTTCTTTGACTTCTGTAACTCCTTTATATCAAGATCAAGGTCTGAGTAATTAATCTATGCATACTGCCTGGGTATTTGTAATGCCTGTTCCAGACCAGTGCAGGCTTTTATCGAACTCGTTAACCTGCAACCAAGATGATTGTACAGAACTACTCTGTACAGAAATATCTTGTCCTTGATTTGCTTCTGTTAAGGCTTTGGTAGTTACTCCTGAGTCACATTGCTGTGAGTCAGATCACAGCTCTGCTGTGTGTCAGGAACCAGAACCTGATGGCTGTGCTTGGGGATTCCTCCCAGAGCTCGAGTTTTGTACATTTAGGGGCTGTCTCATTTAAACCAATTTTCATGAAGGCAGGAAGTTTTCATGGCTGACTGCAGTGAGCCCAGAGCAACAGGGAAGACAGGAGTGGGGAGTGAATACAAAACCCCAAATGTGACAGGCTTTGTATGGTGGGTTCAACCCGAATTCTTCCAGCTGCATAGTCTGTTGTGTTGCAGCAAGCCCTCAACATCTCCTTTATCCAACTAAGTCTCAGATTTTCTGGCACTATCCTTTGTTCCTGTAACTTCTAGACCTCACACTTTATTTGAAGTGCGAAGTTTTAGAATGACCTGTATTGTGGACTGGCTACATTCAACATTTTTACAAAAAAACCTAGCAGAAAAAAGCAGAAATGTCTCTGATTC